CGGACAAGCAATCGATGTCTCTACACGGCTGAGGCCAGAGACTGCTGTGAACACGTATTCGAGAACATATTTCACTCTGGTTTTATAAGGGTGGAAGGAACATCTAATCGATTCCAACCATTCAACCGACCAGAAGGATAATTTTAAAGTTGTCTGTCGAATTCGTTCAAATATTTCAGGTTATCTTCATCTTCAACTTTTAAAAACATCAGAGGCTTTGGCTATTCATGAATTGAAGCCTAATCTTTGTTTACAAAGGGAGTATATACAGTCACTGTCTCGAGCCTGGCCTTAATTCTGTCTTGGTTTGTATCTTTTCGTTTAGTGTCTTCAACTTTTCCGTTTCTTAGATTAATCTTTCCTCTCTAACATAGTCATTGTTAGTATGATTTTTATATTTACTAGTTTCTGATGTCAGTTCGTTTAATCTTGTGAAAAGGTTTACGATCATTGTACAAAGAAAGGCTATTTTAGATTGTTTAAGCAATAACCAGCTAAACCGTCCTTCTTTGTGAATTAACTCGATCCAGAATGCAGTGAGATTTGATTAGGTGGCTAGTTTGCGTAATAACTAACTTCACATACCACTAATTCCTATGATGGATGCTTAACATAAATCTCGTCAGCTGAAATGGAATATTGACACATTAAGCATTCAAAATTTGTCGCTTGGTCCCCAGAACAGCTTATACAACTGGTATTGCTTATCAATTTAATTCTGATAGGACTAATTTCTAGTTAATGAATTCGATGGGGAATCCTATGATAGTCTATTTGTTGTTTAACCAACGTTTTTAACCTGAGACCGCTATTGCTTGATATGTTACTAATCGACATCACGCTAGTGATTCCAAGGGAAGTTTTTTCATTACACATGTGTGAGAACTGAAACGTTTTTTGCCTGAAATCTTATAGTCATTACGAAATTATCGTTGTATATCGGGATTTATCAAGCAAATCCACTTTCAGTATTAGGAATCATCTGGAGGTGTTCTATATTCTACTATATGACTAGGAAATATAACCACTGGACAAGGATATGCTGGGCCACTGTGTGAGGAGTTTAGGGGCTATGTGTGAAGTTTCAGGTTAAGGATGTTAGGAAGTTCATGACAGTATGATGGTTTATCGGCTGGACTGCCTTGGATTTGTATAACTCATACCAACCGACCGTTTATCTCAACATACCGTATAAGCTAAAGCTGAGTTACGTTAAAAGAAAGCTAAGAGTATCCTGAGCAATGCAAGTAACCAAATATAGGAAGTATATGATTACTTACCGTGTGAAATATTCACTTTTTGTTGTAGTTCCCCAAGACAGCCGAAATGGACTACTTTAAGTTCCAAGTGACATTGCTTTGAATCAACTGCAGCTCCTTAGATGTGCTTCTTTGCCTCATTTTTGTATAAATTGTAATATGATATGCTTGCAATGAATTTACTTCTTTTCCTATCTTTCTTATGGCTGTTTACAACTCCTAATAACAGGGAGTATCCACTTACTGACTTCTAGTCTGGATTATTGTAAAGAGTTATGACGAAGTGGACTGTTATGCACCCATGTCTCATCATCTATTGATAATGCCTATCTCTTTCTATCTACATTGTTACTCAAGACAAGTAAATATAAACTTTTGGAAAAGGTTAACAGTAGTGCTAACTACTCATGACGGTGTGAATTACACTCAAAACACATCCTTCGCCTTGTAATCTTACAGTGAATAAAGAAAATATTTTGACTATTCGATAAGTATGAATTAAACCATAGCTAATGAAAAACTGTATTCCCTTCAACTAATACAGTCTTCATGATTTACGAAGGCTTTCACAGTGGCCACTAGCCATGAAATCAAATATCTATAGAGTTATGCCTTGTCGGTTTAGGTATTCCACATTTACAAAATCCAACCAACTATATCCCATCTACTGGAATTTCGATAACAAGACTGTCCAACTAGCCTTCTCCCAGTCAGTGTGTCTTGTGTTCCAAGATATCAACCTAGAATACTTTCTTTTCCTATTTAAAAGACGCATAAAATAAACTAGTCACAGAACTCCCTGAATGCTTTAGTAACAGATGGAGTGTTATACCACAGCTTAATGGAGCAGATGTCAAGCTTTACATCATGTCTGCCCAGTAACATCTAAGTCATCAAGCTCTGCGTTTTATACTCACTGTATCTGAAAATGATAGTCACTGTTTGACCTCACAAACTATCTTTGATGCTAACTAGAACAAACCCACAAGTTGTAAGTGGACTTTCTTTCATTTAACGAATGAATTTATTATGTGGTGCTCTTCTCACTTGTACCTGAACAGAGTTTTGGGTAGCGTAAATGAACAGTTGTCTTGTTGGTGGTTGTTTTGTTTGCTTCCTTACATTGGATGTGCCCTTAGTTTATTAGAGCGAGTTACAACGTGACATTATTAATACTGGGGGACAATTGAGTGCAAAATGCAAAATCTGGGCTGCGGTAGGATTTGAACCAGAGGCTTTGCTTTTCCAGCCTGATGCTCTTCCAACTGAGCTAAGAGATCTAATTGGTGGATCGTGGCAGGATTTTGTTGACAACGTGGTTTTCTTATTTACAAGCGGTTTCAAAGTCCTCTATGAAAAGAGATAACATAAAGTCTGGGTACAAAAACCACTTGTTTTTAATATTAAAAACTCTCATTAGAGTTGTCCAATTAGTTGGTTCTACTTGAAATCTACCTTTGAAGACATTTTGAAATATTTTAAGTACATAATGATGCTTTGAGTTGATTACTTTCCAATATTAAAAAGGTAGGCTATTATGAGGTTACTTTCATTACCAGATGAACAGTGCAAGTTGTGTTTCCACACACTGATTGGTCACTGGACGGTAACCAACTTCGTGTTGTCTAGTCCTATGTGCTGATTAAATTCTAGCGACCATTTTGTGATGTGACCACCAGCCTAGGTGACTTACCATTGTGGACCGAATTGCTCAGTAGTAGCGTCTGTGATTGCACCACTGGGTGGTGTCGGTTTGAATGTCAGGTTGGACATCACTTCCGCTAAAGTTGCAGATGCGCCTTTGTTGACAAGCGACCAAAAGCAGAAAACCCAGGTCCAGTACGCCTTCCTGCCGATTACCTCTATCCGACTAACAAATTACATTTGGTTCGGGTAAACTGCGACTAACCTGACAGCTAGATAGGTTCTCTTGAGGGCAGAATTTTATGAGGCTACTTGTACCAAATCTCAGTGGCAAAACTGCTTGAAGCACTTCAAATGCTCCCATGTCTATGTATTTGCTTGATTATTGATGCGGATGTGACCAGTTATATCAATTTTCAGATGGTAAAAGCTGAAGTAATATAAGTAACTCATTGTATCATTATGACAATAAAATACCAGCTGTACGACATTCTGGTGTATGAAGCTTTGGAGATCCATGTCGCTGAACAGTACTAAGGATCTTCTTGACCGCATTTATCGCTAAGTCGAATAATGTGGTGTATGGGTTAGAATCTGACAGGATCACGAAGAGGCTCACAGTCGTTTTGAAACTAGGCCCGCCAGTGCACATTACGTCATAGACCATCCTGGCCAGCAGCTCAAATAAACAAACCACTTAGCCGTGTCACATAGATTTCTTCACATAACTGTGGAGTAGAATTCGATTACCTTAAGAGAGGCTTAGTTACTCCAGAAACAACTGACTGACTGTTCAGGGGATCTCCACACTGTCAGTATTTCTCATATTTAGTGTTAATATGTGAAAAATAATGGTATATTGTTACACTTTGGCACCATGAAGAATCATATTCAGTTATAGTGGTCATTAAGTAATCCGTTTCAAATACCTCCCAACAATCGATATAAACTATGAAGTATCATGTTTCTCAGCGACTCAACAAATTATCAAGTATAGGTTGAAATTCTGCTTTTTTCGGCTTAAATCTTCCAAGTAGTTAAGTTTAAAAAACATAAATGGAAGTTTTCTGAACACTGTCTTTAATTTTTCACTTTCTCTTTTCCATATCACTATTGTTTCATCTTCATCCTTCTATATTCTCAATGCCCTGTTACTTTCCTGTAAGTAACACATACATTGGTGCCTTTGTTGTACCAAACGTTTTTGTCAAGCATCCTAGGTAATGAGTCGCACCGTTTATGTGGGAACTAGTGATACTGACTGACTGCCTAACCTCCGTAAGTGGAGCGCAAGACCAGCTGGGTGATAGGTGAATGCGTAGACCAGTGAAAGACGCTCGCACTACTTAAGTAAACAAGAAAAGAACGAACAAGCACTAAACCTCACTCGTACATGTACGGTGATTGTCCTTGTCCTTGTACCACAGTGCCAGAGTTTTCCTCTCATAAATAACATCCCTAATTGCATTCGAAAGGCTCTTATTAACTGTTCCCCCGTGTAGAGGAAGCTTGTCATAACTCTGTCCTGAGAACACCTATTGGAATAGAATGTATACCACTGCATCATTGTGCTAGTTGTGGCATAGTTCTGAAAATCTCTGGGATATATAAGTGTAAAGAAAATCTGCCTTTTACTTTATCAACCAATGAGATTACAGCTAATTTTTTGACATTTTTGAAAGTAGCCAATTAAAACCATGTGTTTTTTAGGGAAGATTTACCAGCTAACTAGAATGACATTGCAGATGTGATTTCCTTTTGTCCAATCGAATCAAAGTTAGTTGTCCATTAATCAGATTATTGTTTCGTTCACATCCGTGTGATTGACACACTAATTTCGACTAAAGTTCAGACATTTTATCTCTTATATGCATACGAAACCATTGTATGGCCAAGGCCATAAACTTATCATCTCTGATTGGACATAGTTCACGTGTATATTCACCTACCTACGTTCCAATCGATTAAGCGTATTCCGTTGCTAGTCAACATAAGTCATGTTTATTTATATTTTTCAAAACATGTTTTCATTTTGATGTTTGAATGATTAATACTGTTCATTTAATTAATATGAATGAATAAAATATTCGTTTACAGCTTGAAGAATTGGAAGTTGTTTGTTCCAAGCAAACTATCCCTCCTCCATGGTTATCTGGAGTGAATAAATCAGGCAATACATCACATACAAATAATAGTCAAAGTGAATCTGATCAGTCTGCTGTATTCACAAGTTCCGATTTATCGATAAGTATGATTGAACCAGATGAAATTCATATACGTTCATCAAAAATTGATGGGAAACAAAATATACCAGATAGTTTAACAGTTAACTCTGTATTCTCCAATCCTACAGAAGAATATGAAAATCGGACTAATTTATTGACTAATTTATTAGGAGAAATAAATCTACTCTCACAGATAGTTTTAAATTCACAACATGAAAATCAAGCACAAATTTATGATATTCATGAAGTATGCAAGCGTATACTACAAGGATTGACAGATTTATTAAATGAAGAAGAGGATGAAGAAGACATTTGTGATCAAGAGTTTACATTTTCATCACATCAGTTGATTGAACCAAAGGAACCAATACATGGGGTATGTAAATTGAATTGTTGAGTATATGTATTAAATATAGTGGTAAACGCCGTTAGTAATCACTTTGATTTCAACACTGAATGAATAATGTCACCTATAAATATCACTGGTCTATGATAGAAGAATTTATCATCAAGCTTGATATAAGTGATTTCACAAAGTTTGTATTGAAGGTGGTCTTGTTTTAGGCACACGATCAGTAAAAGATGCATTTGAAAGAAGAACAAGTATTTCAGGGAAGAGTCTCTTTCCAGAGATTTCATTTTTAAAACTGTACAATCGCAAATTTATACATTTTTCTAGTGTATAAGGATATGATAGTTAAAAATGGTTTGTAAAACATTGCAACACAAATTGTGTCAATAGATGATGAGCTGTCATTAATGAGTGACTTTCAAGACTAGTCTGGCAACTGCTGAAATGACCAATTAGACTTCTCCGTTTTCTGACCTTCTAGTCGAAATGAAGAAGCCTAATTGGTTATTTCAATTATTGTCAGGACAGCCTTAAAATTCACTCGTCATTAAAGTTTAAAAAAACTGTGATGAGCAGTGAATATTAAGTTTGGACAAAAAGTTTCATGAAATGACGACACGATTGGAAACTAAATGAGTAGCAAATTACTTAAGAAGTGAATAGTGTCAAAATAAAAAACAATAAGAAAGGGTGGGGAGCGGAAGAGGAGATTTCAAAGACTGAAAGTTAAGATCATGGAAGGAGAAGGGGTTAAGCAATCTTCTTCTGCGTATACAGTTCAAGTTTATTCATATAGATGACAAGAGCTTCGGTAGTGCAGAGAATACGAAGACATACAGCTTTTGGAAGGTTTCTTTTCACTTTATATATAACTTCAAACGTGGAGGTTCTCGAGATAGGATGTGTCCATTGATAGCACTCTTTATTGCTCCATTGTCACCTCTTAAACCCTTTTGGATAAGAGTTACATCGAACGACCCATATACCTGGCTCCGTAAGAGTAGATGAATTGATCTATGCACAAAGAAGTGGCTAGATACGAAGTTTTCTCTTTTGAATTGTTGGAAATCGTTGGGTAAAAAAGAGAAAACTAGTTTCAGCGTTGATGGAAAGAATTTTCTGCTTAGAGCGTTTAATATCCTCCTTTTGAGAGTGTCAGCGGCAGATTCATCCTTGAAGTTTAGATTCATATAGATTGTCTTTTTCGGCACGATTGTGAGGTTCACTTTCCCAGGTTTAGGTTTGTTTTTGTCTATGAAGCGTAGTGGGAATCCCTTTTCAATCAGGATGTTCTTTGGAACAGAAATTTCCTCTTCTAACGCATCGGGACTGCAGATTCGTCTAATGCGAATGGCAAGAGATATTATCAGATTTCGCTTACGACTCATAGGGATCCAAGTATGAAAGTTCGTCAGTTGACTATTCCACATCAGTTTTCTGTGAATTAATCTACTTAACGTTCCATCAGCTGTTCCTGTAAGCTCTACATAAAGAAAGTGAATTTCCGATCGATTTCCGACCTCGAGAGTGCATCTAATTGTTGTATGGCAGCTAGTAAATATTTGTAGAATATGATTCACATTACATTATTTATCCCAGATAATAAAAGTATCGGACACATACCTTTTGTACAGTCTAAAAGCATCAATTGTTGGTTTCAAGGGTCCGTTCTCCAAACTGGCCATAAAGCAGTCTACAAGTAGTGGACTTAGTGGGGAGATCCCATGACAATCCCACCTTTCTGTCTATAAATCACGTCTTTAAATGTGCATCTAAGTAGTAATTCCTTAGGGCTGAGGGTTGGTATCCCAATATTCATGTTATTATCTTTTATATATCTGGATAAGAAGGAGATAGTTTCAGTAAGTGGAACATTGGTAAAAAGTGACTTGACATAAGATGATATCGTACATTAATAGGATACGTCTACGTCTCTTATGCAATCCAGACATTCAAAAGTATCACATAGAGAGTGGATGGTGATTCCTCTTCTTACAGGCATGCATGCATTCTAGGGTCACTCAGAACGCAAGATAAGTTACAGCAAGTTGACTGAGAAATATTCATTTGGGAAAAGTTATTGATACCAGTAGACTCATCTATGCTCATACCTGAAATGATAATCCAATGGGGAAGGTTAATCAGATTTTCAACAACACTAAACATTATTGTCGGCGTATATTACCTTTCTCTATTTCTACTGATGAGAATCAGTGGGTTTTCTATCGGGCTTAGTGACTATTAGACTCCTAAATTTAATGACGGGACATTCTAGATACAGAGATAGGTACGTTTCTGTTACATGTGGGTAGTACTAGATTATAATAAATTTTAAGTTGGGTGGTTTGTTTACATGAAATATCTCACCTGTGATGTAATACGCTTTACTAGTTTTGGTTTTTAGACGCTTTGTTGATGCGTAAAGTGCAGCAGTGGTGAGGTAATATTCTCATTGAATATTACTGAATTTTGTTGGCAGCGTTCAAGGGATTCCAATTATCAGTTGTGTATTTATTTCTTATTTTTGGGGCAAAAAAAGTACAAAAGTTAAAAATAATCATACACAAAAGGCTGCATGTGACAGACCTCAAGCAGATGTCTGATTGGCTCTGCGGTCACACAAATCTCTTTCAGGTGCCTTAAGAAGAAATGAACTTCCACTGTATGGGCGGCCTGAAAGTGTCAACCGCCCTCAAAACTCGATCAGCATTCAATCTTCCTTAGACCGCTATCCACCTCCCTCATCATTACCTTCTAATCTTCCTTCTCGTCTCTCAATTAACGATACTACATCATCTTCAATTTCTCCTAGCTCTGCAGCCTTCGACAACGATCTGAATCCATAGAACAGCATCTCTAGTCTCCTTAAACCAGGCTTTATATTACATATTGGAGCCTTTCATGTCCACATCCTCAGGCAAATTGGTCAACAGACATCGTTGGTAAAGACTCTAGCAACTCGGGCCATAGATGTGTGCTGTGTTTATGGGACACGCATACGGGTCCCAAGTGTGGCCATTCACCTGACCTCTCCCGGCCAGTCTAGTGAATCCACGAAGTTCACCCTTCAAGTTACTGGAGATTCGATAGCTAACTCTAGCGGTCTTGCAGATGTAGACATGGTATTAAGCACTAGGGCAGAAAACTCACCACTAAACCGGATCCCAGTTGATAGTCGCCTGTGCGCTATCCTACTGGACGGCCCAATGAGAACTAAAAGGAATAGTGAGACTTGCCGTTGTCTCTTTGTAATCTCTGCTTACGCACCCACTGACTGCAGTTCGGATGAAGTGAAGGATGAGTTCTACTGTAAAGTGTCTAGCCCCCTCTCGAAATCCAAACGACCAGATGTGGTGGTTGTTACAGGTGACTTCAGTGCACAGATAGATAGACTGAGTGAGGTAGAAAGGCACTTAAGTGGCACTTTTGGAGTCCCGGCTGAACGAACAGATAACGGTGATCACCTACTACAACTATGCTCAGGTAACCGCCTATTTTTAGCTAGCACAAATTTCAGACATAAAGAAAGACACTGTCTGACGTGGCATCCACCGAGCTCAACTCAGCGATGGACACAGATAGACCACATTGCTATTAGTCATCGCTGGAGAGGATCGGTGGAAGGCTGCCGCTCCTTCTGGAGTACGTGTTTGGGTAGCGATCACGCGTTGGTCCGAGTGCGTATATGCCTGTGTCTCAATGGGTGTAGGAAAAACTTGACAACAAAACCACTACGAGTGCTGCTGGACAACGAAAACACCAAAGCCATGTTCAGTGAGAAGTTGGCTAGGCAGTTATTGGAACAGAAGACTATCACACATCCAGAAGAAGCTTGGTACCTTCTCCAGTTCGCAGTAAAATCAGCGTTGAAGACCGTAGCGGACTCCAAAATAGTGGCTAAAAAGAGCCAGTGGATATCAACAGCTTCTTCCCAACTAATGGATGCACATGAACGCATTCCTGCAGGCTCTGAGTACAATGAAGAGCGAACGCAACTTAAAAGTAGATTGAGAAAAAGTCTACGCAACGATCACAAAGTGGTGCGCAGTGAAGGCTAGAGATAGAAAAGGCAGCGGCGATTGGTAACAGTAGACAGTTATTTAGACTTATTAAGGAGACTGGGAGAGGAAGGTCAACAACAGTTAGTGAGGCTATAGTGGAGAGGGACGGACCTGCGATTCACTAGTAGGGGAGACGACCAGAACGATGGGCAGAACACTTTGAGGAACAGTTTAACTGGCCTGCAGCCGCCATTGCGTTGCCCGCTATCCAGTTGAATCCTGAATGAAACATTGAGACAGACCCCCCCCCCCAACACTAGCAGGAGTTTAGAAAGCGGTAAGTAACCTGAAACGAAGAAGGGCAGCAAGACCAGATGGGCTACCTCCTGAGGTATACAAGGATGGTGGTAGAGTGCTCTTAGTCAGGTTAACGGAAGTGTTAACCAGTATATGGGAATCAAATACGATCACCTCTTACTGGTCTACACCACTGATTATCCCAGTCTTCAAGAAAGGTGAGAATTCCTCTTGTGATAATTATAGGGGAATCAGCCCGACGAACATAGTGTCTAAGATCCTAGGTTCCATAATTCTTCGATGCTGAGTGGAGCTCGGGAACAGCATGCCCGAGAAAATCAGGCAGGCTTTAGACCCGGCCGTGGGTGTATCGACCAAATATTCACACTGCGCCAGGCTCTGGAATACAGGTACGCTTATCGAAGTCCAAAACTAGCTGTATTTCTTGACGTGAAGGCGGCATTTTACTCCGTTGATCGAGAAGTCTTATGGCAGTATGTCCCACTGAAAGGCGTTCCGAGTAAGTATATCACCTTATTGAAGGCTCTCTACTTGAACACTTATGGGCGTACTGGAGCCTATGGTGAGATGTTCAGGGAGCTATGCTCATCGAGTGGTGTCCGTCAAGGGTGTCCACCCTCTCCACTCCTACTTAATTTTATCATAGATATTCTTATGGAGGTCTCCCTATCGTCACCTGATCACATTGACGTTGACCTAATAACAGGAGAATTTTCGTTAGACCTAGAATATGCAGATGATATATTCGTGTTAGATGAAGACGCTGACAGGATGCAGAGTTTTCTGAACACTTTGAGTGGCAATTTGAGAATGTTTGGGATGCGTTTCTCACTACCCAAATGGAAATTGCTGCCCCAGGATTGGTCTTCAGCGGTGCCACGGCTAACAATAGAGAGTTTAATGGTTGAGTGTGTCGACCACTTCAATCACCTGGGAATTAGGATCAACTCTGGTGGCTCAGTAGCAGATGGAATCTCTGCATGGATACAAAAGGCTCTTTTTGCTTTTGCCAACTTACGCCATCTATGGCGCCTTTGTGATATCCGATTTTCCATTAAGGGTCGCGTGTCCTACACAGCAGTCCGCTCTGTTCTACTTTATGACTATGAAACATGGCCATTGAAGGTGGAAGACATGAGAAAGCATCAGGTGTTTGACCACCGTTGCCTTCATAGTATAGGCCGTATTCCGTGGTGTCACCACGCGAGTAACGCAGAAGTCAGGTGTAGAGTTTTAGGGAGTAGAGGTAAACCATTTTGAAATAGTGGAGAATACTTGTAGCTCAGGTGGATGGTCTTGGTAGTATTTTGTTCTCTGAGCTTCACGATTAAATAGCCCAGCTCAGAGAACACAATAAAATTACGAGGTAAATCAGTTGACAAGGTTATGAACCTTCATCGACTGAGATGGTTGGGACATGTGTTACGTATGCCTTGTCACACAATGTTGGCCGAACTAGGTTCAGGCTGGGAAAATGCCCAAGGTGGACAGACTAAAACGTGGCACCAATGTAAGAAGTCTTTGACTGTTGGTTTGAGCCATATGGGGCGATGCAGACTGGCCGGTTTGGGTCGGCGGGACAAGAGGAATTAGTGGTTGGAGACTCTAGGTGATATGGCTGAGGACTGATGTCAGTGGCGCAGATGTATACAGATATTATCCTTTTTTTAACGGTACACTGAATCTCACCAATTTCTCACTCTTCCTTTCTCTCTTTTCATACTTTATATTTCTCTCGACTGAATCTTCTTATCTTCATCTTGCGCCTCACTGTCTTTTTACGTGATGTACTGATATGAGCTGTGGCAACTTGGACGGTTACACAGTAATGCCTTGTCCTACATTGATATTGATATTGATGATGATGAATTATGAGTTATGATAGGCTTTGTAATATTTTGTTAGTTGTCTTTTCAGAGGTAGTTATTCTGAGATCCTGGAAACCGTTGTAGGATAAGTCAGAAATACAGAAGCTTCTCAATATCATTGTTACGACATGGTGGAGCTGTAATGATGACTTTCAATCAATGGGTCACGAATTCGAGACCCGCCCTACCTAGCTAGGTTTGGGAAGTCAGGTAGTACCACTAACCCTCACACAGTGGGTGTGGTTTATTGCCTACTGGACACATGTACACAAGGTTGTTGAACAGTTATGAAGGTGTTAGGACATAACGCAACGAAAGAGATATTGAACTGTTCTAGTTCTGTTAGGAACTTCAATTTTCAGCTTGTTAGCAACTGGATAGTCTTATCATTTCTCATACACTAAATGTAACTTAACCTAATTTCAAGATAGTATTCATCATGAAGAATCATTGAAAACTCAATTGATGAACTTGTATCAGTTCATTGAGTTGGATCTTTTTTGAGTTGAAATAGTTAAGATCTTAGTAGAGAATGTTTTGTTTATGACAGGTGACACTTCATTGGTGTACATGTGTTCTATTCACAGAATAGGAAGGTTCACTGTCAATGAGCCATTTCTCAGTGAAATACGCAGATTTGTTTTTGGAAAAAAAAGTATTTCTGAACAGTCAGTGTATAAATAATACAGTCTTGAAAAAAAGAGTAATTTATTCCAACTGAAGTCAGGCAGTCTATCAGAGAGCAAAATTCTACTCATGAACATCTGACTATTGAGTCATATAGCAGCAATGTAATAGTTCTGATAGACAAATGAAAGGTTATGCTACATCTTGGAATAATTTCAAGGCTTTTAAATGTATACACAGTAGCCTACTATGTTATTTGATTGATGGTGGTTGGTAATGGAATCCAGGTTGTATTTCGTTCTAATTACAACTAATCAGGTCATGAAACATCAACTACAATGACTTGACTTCCAAATATATTTATGTTCTAGGATACCAAATAGATGACTATAGCATCAAAAAGATTGATTTATGCTTGTTTTAAACTAGTTCACATTGGGAATATCACTCAACTTGTGGAATGTATAATGACATTGGTCTTTTTTTATCCTAACACACATTAAGCATGGAGTAAATTTCAGTAGACATAGATGCATTTTGTTCATTATTTCAATTTTATCCTTGACTACTGTTGAATGAGAATTAACTGACTGTTCTTAAGATTTAGTAGTTCTTCAGTTGATAACGAACTTAAATTTCTCCAGGTAAAAAAGATTGTTATCGAAGAGATAAATGATTATTTCATCATCTTCTTACTTGATTCTACTAAGTTGGATGGATGTATAAGCCAAGTTACCTGGCTGCTTAAACGTCAGCGGGTGGAATGGTGTTCTAAGTCATAATCTATTGGTTGTAAGTTAACTTCTTACACCATATATCCACTTAAAAGTGTTCATACTAGCACTGTCTTCCTAATAACCCTCATTCAGTCAGGTACTATTTAGTTACAATAGGATCAGTGAACATAAAACTGTAATTCGTTATCCTAATGATAAATTCTATATCGTTATGCATATGTTGTAATCGAAAAGCAGCATATAATGCATGAGTAGTTGTTTGTGTAAACTGATTATGCGCTAATCGTTATGTATTCAGTTTACGCCTGTACATTTTTAATGCAGTTTTCCGCTTAAAAAAGTATACAATATGCTTGTCATATACGCCTGTTTGATGCACAAAACTATCTTGTAAACAATAGTCACATTATGTTTAGGTGTGTATAATTCAGTATAGAAAGAAATTGTTTGTTGTGTAATCAAACTATATCACATAAAGGATTTTTCATGTTGGAAATGCTAACTAATTCACTTTTCAGTTTGGAGCTTTGCGGGGGAATCATTGATTTCAAGTCAGTATTCATCACGGACTGACATTGGTTGTAGAATCTACCAGTATTCCATAGCTGTTTCGTCCTAGTATGTGACTTCTCAGTAGCACGCACTAACGACCACTTTGGGGATTGAACCCAGGACCTTAAGGTTCCACAACTAACGCTTCGACCATTCACTCACTGGATCAGAGTTCAATGATCCACAGTTTCCTACTTCTGTCAATTGGCAATGTAGCGTGACCTCCATCCAATGCCATCATTAAGTATTTGTTCTAGTACAAATATAGTTTTGTCCATTGTATTCAAAATATTACATTGAAGCAATGTAGAGCGTTTTTACTCTCTAGGATTCAATGTAATCTCTGTTGTTATTTCGAAACAAATAGAAGCAATTTCGTGGTATCATGCCTAAGTCTCAGTAATACGATAGTTATATTATGCTGATACATATTCCTTGGTGATGTACTCAGACATTATTGTTGCGACTAAGTATAGGATACTTAATACATTGAAAAACCTCCTACTTTCAAGGAGTAGTTACCGAGATTAACTTAGCTTTCAATGATTTTCCTCATTATGAATTCTGGTTATCAATGAGGACTTACATTCCTTCATAGATAAATCCTTTTAAAACTGATTCTGTGTATTTTGGATTGTCCTATGAGGTTAAGTATAGTGGAAAAGACGCTATGATGTCTTGGAATCGCTTTTTTGAGTCTACCATTGTTATGATAATTTCAAACTCAGGGGGAACTTAATCTTTTTAAGATCTTTAAGATATGAAACCTGGGTGGAGCAGTTCTCACTACTCGCCTTAAATCATCTGTCACACTAGGCACAACGTTCTCATAAAAATAAGTCGTTGACAAAGGACCCTGTGGTATTTCGGTCTGGGTACTCGACTATCAACTGTAAGGTTACGGATTAGAATCCAGCTCCACCTATCGAGGCTTTTAGCACCGGCCCTCACACAAATAGAACGCACACAAGGTTCCTGAGTGGGTTTCATTTCCATCCTCATTTATATTACAAGGTGTCAGTTACGGGTAACCCTCAGACATTTTAAATTTATCACTGAAATTTTAACCTTACTTTGTTCAACAATAATTTGAATTTTGATATACATTTTCTCATTAACTTTCTCATTATTGTTTACTTGATAGACTTCACTGAATGGTGCAAATGTTAATGTTAACAAACAAAACGTTACTTCGGCCATATGTGTCCCACTGCCAGCTGCGTGTCGTGTGAAGTCGCCAATACGATTATTGGTCTTCTACTTTGAAATATTATCGGAGTTGATGGAGTTGAAAGATCATGAAAACAAGGTAAGATAATCTTTTAATTAATCTTAAGGTGGTTACTAGGCCATTTTTAAAACGAAGTAGTCAAGGTTATTGTAAAGCTAGCTAACAGTGGCCTTTACACTCCTAACCCGTTATCATTATAGTGTTCTTGTAGATTTTCTTCATTAATCAGAGAGGTTCGCAACTAGTTATGTGTAAATGTGATCCACTGACTTAGACACTTGGTCATCAGTCAGGTTATAACGGATTTCAATACCGTTTCATCCGCGGAGGTTTGGACAGCAAAGTGTTGACTTATTAGCCCTACACAATGAGTATGGTTTACAGCCTTGCAATTGGTTAACGATAAGTCTTTTTTTCATGTTATTACGGTTTTCAGCTACTCATGTCAACCAGCAGTTGTCCTCCTTTAATCTCATTGTGACACAGTATTTCATCAAACAGCTGTTTATCTATTTATACTTGTATGTTTCAGTGGACTAACATGGTTGGTCCCTGTTGGCTAAAGGGCGACTTGAAAGAAAGCGTTAAGATTGCCTTCAGTCCTAGTTTGATTGATTTATCTTAGTGACAGCTAGAAGTACAACCCAGGATTTCATTTTACGTCCTTTTTGGGACACATCAACTGGATGTACCTGCACCTCTTAGTGGGAGTGATATTGTCTTCACTGAGATATAAACTTAGGACACCATATTCAAGAACTAAGATTATATGATCACAGAGAAATTATCACTAAAGAAGTCAAGAATTCACCAAACAGTCTTACTTTATCATCATAGCGAAATCCGAAAAACGTTAGTGTTTCCAAGACAAATAGTTTTATTAAATGGGTAGTGTTTATTACTACTACTACTGTGTCAATGAATGTTGTTACACTAATTACTTTGTAGACGTTGAAGTACCAGGAGTGGAACTCACACGTTATCATAACGGTATGATTTCGCTATTGTGTTAAAATTGTGTTCATCTTGAGTTTTATGAATTCGAAACCATAAAGATATGAAGTAAACTATATTAAGTTATTATTACATTTTATTTACACGAAATTACAAGTGTTTGCTTTACTCTCCTGTTATTTTTATGCAACAGGATTGGTAATAGAAGAAAGATGATATGAAAACTTTCAAATACATAACTGTGTCTTTAAAGTGGTTCACTGAGAATACAGAATCGTTAGCACTGACGTTAGGACATCTGATGCAATTAAAACTTCTGGTTATCAAAGTTCTCAAGCAAATATTGACAGAGATGAACTACAAAACAGAGAGAGTTTTCATGTACACATATCTCTTGATAAATTTTGACAAAGCGAAATTTTCAGAATGAATTGATATCATTTTATCTCACGAATACTCTTCAGCTGCATACAGTCTAAAAGTACAATAGTCATTGGTTCATTAAGTATTTCAAAATTAGGAAATAAATAATCTCAAGTTATTCAACAAAGCCATTGATGATAATCCATTTAATGTGTAAGACAGCTAATTGTACAGGGGGGGGGGGTAAGAAATGTAAGAAGTAAAAACAGTAAAGGGGTTATATGAATTAAATTGGAACAGGATCAAATTGTAGTCACCATACTCCTTCTGTATACAGAGGTCAGGTTGAAAGCGTTTTATTGTAAAAATTGCGTTACTGGATGACTGAACACCTAAAGAGCCAGGTCATATCTCCATATCTTTGCAGGCTAACAAAGCAACCAATCAGAGTCTTTAGCGCTTTTTCTAAGAGAAATTAATGTGAGTGAATGCGACGAAATAAGTGCTGTTTTCTGGGCATGTGTGTATGTCGCAAATGTATATAACCACATACAACTTTTTTCTCCTCATATATATATATATATATATATATATATATATATATATATATATATATATAAATATATATATATGACAATCGATCTGTTGTCGACGTTACAGAAACCAGGACAAATAAGTGCTCAGTAAGAGTTCAGCTGACACATGTACCGATAAGACGAATTAATTATGTAATACTGTCGGTATTTCTACTAAAAGAAACATTACATTTAGCTCTAACATATTTTTCTCAATAAATACCATCATATTTCATTAACAAAGGGGTATACCTATCGTGTGATTATTGATAAAAAAGTGTTTATCGAAATAATAGCATATCGATCAGATTGTGCTTCTTTTATTATCATCACTATTTGGATAATTAACCATCTTTATTGATTTTTTCCATTCATCAATATATTGATTAGGATCTATTTTATCACACCAATTTGTAACTCTTTATCAGTATTGAGTCAGGTTTGTTAACGGGTGAGATTCGGACATAAAATATCCTTATCAGTAGCGCCAAGATTAAAAGCATAAACTATTCGACTCTCGGACCAAGAGCCTAACACCATTGTTGACTCCAAACCCCAGATAATACTGTCCGGTATTTTAATCTCCTTCTCTTGGTCAGTAATTGTTACTGATAAGCATGAGTGGTCAACTACTACTCATTTCAGCCAGTAGTATATGTCGCATATTGAATGCTTTACATCGTTTAAGCAATAAACGATCAACGTTATGCCAAGTTGAACTATTCAGTTGAAATCCAACTATCGAAATCTTCTAATTCTGTTTGGCCCATGACCCATACCCTATCTAACCTTAAGGGTTACTCTCACAATTAATTTAGCTGGCATCAAAATTTGTGACCAATTATTGAGGCTTGAGGGGTTTAAATAGGTGAAACTGATCATTGATGCCGTGACTATTGACAATTACACATTGAACAATTGACTGTCTTATTGATTTTTATTGATAATAACCAATGCTTGTTTAAACATGTTAAAGTTTTATTTCTTTTCTTTAACTTTTTTCAAAACTCCTGAACATACATAGATATTTTACTTTATTTAAAAATAATCTCTGGTTGAAATTCTCTCTATTTTTTTTTAGCTGATATGATTGTTTTGTTTATGTAAACTTTCTTTGGGTCAACGACTGAAATGACATATCTATCGAGCTTTGCTTGTTGTTGTCTTTCTGTCTCTGTATCTCATGTTTTTCTAATTCGATTATGAATCGCTCAAGTCAGTACGTTTTGAGGTGAAGTGAATAGTATTTTGTTCATTTCGATTTTCTGACACCGTTTATCTTGTAGTGAGTATCGACAAAGTTCATGAGAACTAATATTTGTCACGAAATAACTGGTGACTGTGACCAATCATAATTTCACGTTCAAGGCCGTAGATGATTGGTTCGAATGCCAGCAATCACACCTTCAATCTTCAGTGAGTATCAATGGTACCAGTGTTTGTTAAACCATCGCTATCTCACATAGTTTCATTGGTACTGTTGATTCCTCTATATTACTTTTATTCCTAGGACTTTTTGTTGAAACTACATAATGAATAGTGAAAAATCGATACATTAAAACCTTAATCGTTTACATCACCATAGTGATGATCCTCCTCCTCCTAGTGTTTTTAATAATGATATACTTTTAGTGTGTGGTTACCGATTGTCTTAGAGTTCAGTGAACTCACTGGTGCTTTCAGTGGTTCTCAGCAGTGAGTGATTGGAGCAGAGAACTGGTCTAAGTAATCAGCAACCACATATTGTTAAACTAATACACCAGTTGGTGGAATGAAACATAATTTACACTGTTAACTGCTCGGGTGTGATCAATCCCTTGTGTTTAGTTAATCGTCTGTCGAGTTTAGTACCATGAAGTTAAATAGGATGATCAATTTGCACGATCCACATTAACATTTTTCACAGTTGATTAGTTTTTCAACTGCCCAACTGTGGCGTTAACAAGATTATCGTTGAAAATCACCTAACAGAGATCAGAAGGTGGGATCTCTGATACAAAAGTGCCATGAAACATCGAAATATACTACTTAAAAACATGAAAAGGTGGAAACTACTCACGCTTATCAGTAGATTTCGCCGGCTAGATCGGAGTGATGTAACTATTTGCAAGTTGATTGTCCTATATCAGATGGCTTTAAAGCCTAGTGACCTTAATGGCCACTCTACCAACTGCTGAAGTAACCAACTGAACTTCTGTACTCTGGTCAGAAAGGTAGCTCTTTATAAAGTAGAAAAACATAATGAGTTATCTCGGTAGTTGCTAGGATGTGTTTTGAAGTCACTCGTTTTCCTGACACATCCAATAGAGCTTATACTGACAAGTTCAAGCCCTTGCACTAAGGTCGACTCTGAAGACCATCCTGAAACTACTCCGATAAGCAAGTCCGGTTGTGTACTTTGCTAAAACGTTACTATCCCAGTTGAAATAAAGAAACTTGGTTGATTATTACAGTCTTTGTTAAGTGACCTTTAATGTTTGCAGCGGCGGAAGTCTGATATTACTTCTTCTCTGTAAACTTACTAGTTTACACGGCCTTAATTTATTAGCAGATAGTGTTAGGCAAGTGGTTCAAATATAACTTCTTGCGGTGTTTCCGCGAGAAACTAACATATTCTGAGTTCTGTATTTCCTTTCCGATCATTGTTTTTCAATAAAAATTTTACCCTGAGGTCTAGCTCTCACAATTAGAGTCACATTGACACCCTTGTTACCATTGTTAAGATTAATGTACTGAAAACTTTGACGTCATCAGCTCAAGTGCCACAGAGGTCCTCGTTTTCCTCCAACTTCAGTCATTATGTCCATGTAGACAAGTATCGTATTAATAAACAATCCTAAATTGATTGGTCTGTGAAGAGTAACGAATCGACGTGTCTAATCTCGTCCTACAAGAGGTCAGTCACGGCTCATCGGTAACATCTCTGATTGTAGCACTGGGTGACATGGGTTCGAATGTCACAGGGGACATCAGTTCCCTTTAGGTTGCAGAAATGCCTTACTGACGAGTTCTAACAAGCACGAAACCCAGGTCAATCAGGGCTTCCTGCCGATTGCCTACAACCAATAAACAATGCTATGTCATAAAGTCGTGCAATTAACATTGGATTACTGTGTCTGAACAGTAGTATAAGAAACTACCCAACTCATCATTTGCAAATAAGTGTGAGTACGTACTCGCAACTGAATTAGTATCTTATCAGTTTGCCGCACTGATCATCCTTTTATCCCGTCGACAAGCTAACTTTATTTGAACTATAGTGGTAGGAAAACTTGACGATAACCAATCAGGCTGGAGATGGTTTATTAAAGCTATTCGTTACCCCCATTTACCGCGTTGTTGACACCGCATAAACCTTTAATGAATTACAACGAAGATTACATTACAAGTGTAGCGTGAGATTTGTTGGAGAAGATAATCTGGTTGAAATAGATGAATACCTTGTTGGGAAACTTGAACACAACCTAGGACTGGGTACGTTTAACTCACACAATATACGTATACTTACATTTATCTTGGCAAATCATAGATTCTTGATAATATACGACCAAAATACGAAGAAAAGACATTTTCAGTGGATAAAGAATAGATCAGAAATATCTATCCCAGTATTTTTGCGAAAATACATGGCATTGGGTATCGCAAAATACATTGACACTTGGAAGGCATGTATACTTTAATCTGATGTAGGTTACTCACCATCAAGCTACTTTTCAAAAAAAGCACTTTCTTGGTCAGGACAACTGAAGTGTGCACAAATAACTTTGACAATATGCGCAGTCGTCTTAAAAAGTTTTTAAGACCTTTAATAGGATCATGAAGGGGAATTTCACCAATGTCATTTAAATGATATGGTCACACATAGATTAGTGACAGTGTAGATAATCATATGGTTTTAAAGATGATAAATCCATTGAAAATCTAGATATTTTTATTTTGCACACAAATTAATAAATTGTAAGTAAAGTACCATTTTCCTTAATAATTACGTTGTCCTTCATATTCTTGATTCTGATTGGTCAGTTTATACTTGAACGTGATTCGCTGTCACTGAAGTTCATCTTAACCCAATTTTTTGAACAAAAAATGACGACTCTATCCCGAAAATTTCAACTATCCTGCTTAGTTAACTGTTCATATGAATTCAGTTTCTTATTAAAGATTGTTATCGGTATACAGTTTGTAAAACATGTGTAAGATGCAATTGATTAAAGTTGACCTATAAATCATTTTGATCGAAGTTCATTTGGCACCGATTTCATGTTGCGATTCTCACTCACCATAAAATTGGTACAACCTGATGAAGATGTATTATTGAAGGCTAAAGATCTTAAGCACTCCATTGAATACCTTTTGAATTTCAGCTGCTCGAAAACGCAGTCAAATGTACCATAGAAAATACACTCTTATACAATCTTTTACTACTATTCATGTTTTCTCCAAATATCTGTTTGTATTCTTTGTCAAGCCTTTCCATTCCCTGTTAACTACATAACTTTATTCAGCTGAAGGAACATATAACCAAATTCTTTTGTAATATGATATTTAAATGTTTTTTTAAGTTATAAGCAGCTGATGAGAAACTGGCGAGACGAAACAGTACCATGTTATCCTGCTACAATCATTGTTCTTTTTTTAAAAATCCACTTATACTAAAGTGTTTTTGAAGAGTTTGTGCACTATGGTATATATAAAATCATCACAAATTAAATTTAAAGTGATTGTTTACACGCAATAATCTGTCTTGTTTTTGTTGTGAAATTTTGGTAAAATTTTGAGTAAATACTACTAACCATGATCCTACAAATAATTGAAATTCTCTCACGTTTTGCAAACATGGTCCTTGGTACTAATTTATTGAATGTCTACTAAAACCATCCAGCTTGAACAAGTTGATTTTTCTTTTATGGAAATAATCAAAAATCTCGATACGGTAAATTTAGTAAATTGTATGCCCTACGTGTATAGAGTATCTTACATAGCCGCTAGTCTATTTTGTAAATCTGTGTACTAGAACAGTCACTTTTGAAATAAGTGGAGAATATTTCAAAGGGGATTTACATAATGTATTTAATCAGTGATGGTAGCTATCACGCATAATACACACCGAAATCCACTCAGCAATGTTATTCATGTTCGTGTAGATGGCAATGAATGACACCTGTTGTATGAGAGGTAGTGATACTACTGCTCTAGAAATAACTATTTTGATTTGTTTTCCTTGAAACAACTACATCCTGTTACACCCTTTTTTATCAGATAGATGCGTTAATCTGTCACCAAGTTTTGGTGAAATCACGTTACTTGCCTAGTGACTATTTGTTATCCTTTGATCAGCTCCTAGTTCAAGAATATGCTTGACAGCTTATTTCACTATGTGAAATATCTATCTCCACTGGCTTAGCAGTTTCATCTACTATTCATTCACTTAAGTTGCAAGGACATTCACTTGTCTATCGCAATGTGACAACGTGTATGGGAATTACAAACCAAAATGAATTTGACCACTACTAGTCAAGAGTGACTTTAAAGGCCACCCCAGCAACTGCTGAAATAACCAATCAAGCTTCGGTATTTTGTCTGGGAAAGTACCTTTCCATAAAATAAAGGGATGTTATTGACTGTCTCATCAGTTGTAAGGGTGACATTTAAAGTCACCCACCAGTCTAATCCTCGTTAAACTTCACGTCTACTCGGTAGTTTCTATACATAAACAAAGTCATCTTTACAAAATATCATTTTGATGCTGATGAATATGTAAATAAACTCAAACGAACTGACAGATGATTCTTATTAGTGAATCATATTACTTCTTGGCTATCCGAAGAGTTTTTGTACAGGAAATTTCTCTTGGAAACAACTTTTAATTTATACCACTCAGGGAGACATGTTACTATCATGCTATCTGGATTGATTCTCGGTTCCTTCAATTAAAGTTCTACCTATTCTGGTGAGAGAAAAAAGTTTACCAATTCTGTTGAGCATCTAACTTTCTTTTATGCCTGATTAGTCTTTCGATCCATCAGTCTTTTGGTTGCTTGAAAGTCAATATAATTAGTAAATCAGCCTTATTTATCCATTATTCCTGTAGTACTCTGATTGAAAGCCTATAGGCACTTGACAGATGTTTTGTCCTAGTGAGAAGCTCCTCAGCAGTGCTCACACATGACCATCACCCAATGTTGTTGGCGAGTATTCTTCCTGACGCTCAACTTGATTATGGCCTCTCACTAGAACTTCAGGAGATCCATTTCAAAACACGTCAGTAATGAACAGTAGACTGGTGTCAATCCAGGAAGAATATTGCACATTTCCAAAGTGGATCATAATTTACTTTGTTCTTTTCAAAAAATGATTTTGGTTATCTAAATATTAATAGTTGGATTAGGAGTAAAATAAAAAAGAGAGACTCAGGTTCACGTAGGGGGTTGATTATCGGTGTCTTGTGGTCTAACAGTTCAACACACAGATGCTAATTGATTTAACAATCAACTTCAATCGGTGAGGCTTTCACTCTAACATCTTGTGCTTAGAAATCAGGTGATTATTTATTTCTCATTAAGCTGTGTATGTGAACCAATTTCTTTTTCGATGACTAGTAATCATCATTTGATAAAAAATGCAATCAATCAAACAAGTTGTTGGTCGGGAGAGTGCGTTACTCACGTCATCGGTGGGTCCACTAAAATACACTTTTTTCGGCATGTGTTAAGTTCCAAACTGATGACTGGATTCATGTTGACTTCTTGGTCAAAGACACGACGGAAATTGAGGAATAGACAATTAAAATTGCAAAGTACTTCATTACTTATATTGGCTAAGGAGTATTTAGAAACTTATCTTCATTATATTGTTGAGGCTGCTATGATTGGATATCTTAATTTCGTTTATCACATTCTCATTTCCTTGTGATTCTCGACATCATTATGTCCAGTGATGCTTTACTTTCACTATCCCTACATATGCTGATTTGAAGTGTTGCAAATTGTATTGATACGAATCTATGCCTGATCCTAATTTGTGTATACTTGTCTATCTGTCGTGTGTAGTCCTGTTAATTTTAAGATAAGGATGACCTAACGAAAATACTGCTATCTTACTCTAACTGAGACATAGCTAATGATATAGTCTCATGGTTGACTTGTTTATAGCAACAGAGTATTCATCAATAATTGCATATTTTGAAACCGCCTTTTTAATTCTAGCTAATTTAACATTGTTATAATAGGGTGTATCTGTAACCAAAGCAGTCCCTTTTGCTTTCTTACAAAGTTAGTGATAAGTTAAGGCTGGTATATTTCTTACTGATAGCACAAGAAGTGGTTATGGTGACTCGGTGGCCTTGTGGATAACACTAGAATTTGAAGCGAGCGGTCCCCGGTTCGCTCACTAGGATCCAGGTAAATCCAGTTGACTAGTCCCAAATAGGACGAGACGTGGATCTTGTATACCACTGCTAGCCACTATCCATCAGTATTGTAATATTGATGAGAAGATTGATAATCACATTTTCCTGCATATATTGACAAATCAGCAAGTTTATTTGTGAATCCATAACTAATAGTGTCGACGTTGTTTTGATTGATATTTACCGCCTTGTTGCTTTTTATTTTCTATTTTTCCAGTGTTTAGAAGATAATCAAGAAGATTTATCCACTTTGATGGATATATCAGCTGGCATTCTTCGTCTTTTGGATGTGGGTGATAGTAATGATAAAAATATTAATGATACTGACAGCACTAGAGGTAACGCAGGCAGTACTACTAATTTGTCAGTCTACACAACCTGTGAAACTGCTCTGCATACGTTAATTCGATTACAAGATGCATGGATTGCAGCACCAGTTCTAGTCGAAATGCTAAGCACAACGAAATGCAGTCAGTCTACTGATGATGGTGGTGGTGGTGTTGTAAGCCATAGTGTAGAAATGCATGAAACAGTTAAACTCTACCTGACTCGTATTCAATCTGCTCTGAATAAGCAAAGATGTGAGCTGAAAAATATAATTTCAAAAGATTTATGCACATTTCTGAACAGGTCTGCTGATGCCACTGCAGGAGAAGGCGAAAATTCAGTCGAAAGCTTTGAAAACTTGTGTAAGGTAAGTGTAAGTGCTTTATACACTTTACAAAAAAACAGATTTGTGTCAAGCTATGTAGTTGTAAAGTTGACATTAGTTGGAAGGACTGAACAAAGTGATATAAATGTTACTTGACTAACTTTTTAATATTACCTACGGAAATCTGAGGAGAAGAATTGGAGGTAGGTGATTTATCACAAACAACCATCAAGCGTCGTATGTTTTCCATATCAAGATTACTCCACAATCTTGCGACATGGCCTATGCAGTCCTAATTTTCTCGTCGGCATTGTGACCAAGGTAGTATGATTTTCTATATATTCGGAACAGATGCTGAGTCATTCGGTTATCACTGGGTCACTTTAAAGGCTACCCCAGCAACTGTTGAAATAACCAATCAGGTTTCAGTAAGGTTAAAGAAAAGTAATTGGTTAGGTTGGCAATTATTAGGATGGCCTTTAACGTAACTCACTGATAATCGAATCTTGGTTCACGGAGTCAACACGAAATACACACAATGGAAATGACTCAGCACCTGTTCAGGAAATACAGAAAATCAAACTACTTTGATCACAAAGAGGGCAAGAAACTTAGGATCATGAAATAAACTGTCTCAAAGTTCTTGAGTTATGTCAATATGACAATGGACAATGAACTGCGTCCAAAGCGTAAACCGGTAAATAATACTGTTCCACTGTATAACACTATATTATTAATAATAATAATAATAATAAATAGATCAATTAAAATGGAGTTTTACTCTTATACTAACGTCGTCATCTTTCAGCAAGAGATATGTTCGGTTTCGATTGGGGAGACACCAGTCTAGATAGAATAAAACCACATTTCTTCATACAAGCGAGAATGATAACTCCATTAACCTTCGACTGATGACGTCATGGTTAGTGATGAGTCTGATAAACGCATTTCTTTGATGTCATATCGCTATTCATTCCTCTGATGGACAGTTTTCTAAATAATTTTATACACTTCTTTCCTAAATGTACATACTACATTTGCCTTCACTTTATCCAATCGCGTAGGCAACTTTTTTTGTGTATTCCACTATTGCTAATTAAATTGAGGACTTGTTGAATTTCTCATTGGTTGGAAAGTCAAAACGTTGATCAAGTAGACGTTGAACAATCACAATGGGATACTTCGAATCATATCTAACTGTAAAATTCATAGTTATGCAAAAATTAGATTATCGGTAATCCGACCGGAGATTTTGACCCTCTATATAGACTAAATCTGTAACTATCATGATGTATCTTTCAATCAACACACCATGATTTCTCGGTTAAACCAGTACTTACAGTTTGCTGCTAGCAGAAAACTTCAATTATTCTGATAAACATTTATGCAATTTGGAGGTTTGTTGGGATTTAATCATTGATTTCAGGTTGATATTCAGTTGAAGAATCTGTGGAGACCTGGCAGTATTGGACAACTGTTTTTCCCCATTGTGGGACTCCTCAGCAGCGCGCACTCCAAGGATCGAACCCAGGACATTCAGGCTCCGCAGCGAGCACGTTACCATCAAACTACTGGATCGGAGTCCAGTAGTCTAAATTTTCTACTTATGTCAGTTCACCATTTAGCGTGACCTCAATCCAACGCTTTCATCTAGTAACTGTCATTACATCCAACTTGGTTGGTCTTACCAGTTGCGACTATCCATTAGAACTTCCAGAATCTCATCTCAAAGTAATTCACTTTGAAGTTCGTGTTATATCGTGAACTGACAGAAGTAGGAAATATAGTCCATTGACCTAATGGCTCTATGGTAAGGTGCTGGCCGCGAAACTTGGAGGTACTGGGTCCGATCTCTGGAGGGCAGGGTCATTGGTGCGCGCTGCTGATGAGTCATATACCAGGACGAAACGGTTTCCCAGTACTCTCAGGTTCCCGACGGTTCTCCAGCTGATGTCAGTTCGTAATGAATATCAACCTGAAAACATCTTGGGACTTGCATTTCAACATTCATAATTATTTTTTTCATATCGCTTGCAATAGTTATTCAAGAATTTTCATCTCTCATTCGTTTTTTTAATGTGAAAGATATTGGTAACACAAAATTCGGCAACACCTAATCAGTACTCACTGAAACTGGGCCAGAGGTTGGAATCCGGACACTCAGGTGCCATGACAATCATGTTAATGCTGTAGCCACAACTAGCTTGATCATTAATCGTGCGCAAGGAGACTGAACTCCACTGTTAACCAATGGCGTATGTGACCTTGAGTTGTCCATCAGCCAGTGTTAACTTGGTCAGACCACCTACTCTCTTTTGGCCTTGTAGATTACAACATATTTTTAGTGAATGCATTTACTCAATGTGGTGACATATGCATGTAGATGTTATGACCTTAGGAACGTAGCAGCTATCAACAGTATACAGATACAATAATTAACTAACTGTTGAGCTATTGGGCTCAGTTTCATAGTATTGCACACTTCTAGTCTCAATGAACTCAATTAGCATGGCTTAATTAGCGTGTAACTAGGAGACTGCCAGTATATGGCAGTTTCTGTCTAAATCCTTTCTCAACTTACTTTTTTGAAATCAATTCATACAAAATCTGATGTGAATTAAAGTGATCGGTCTCGGGTCCGAGTCCTAGTGGTGACAACTTCACTCACTGGAAAACAGGTACATCCAGCTGACGAGTGAGGCCCAAATAAGACGAAACAGTTGTGTTTTATAGGTACTAAAATAAATTGACATATTCACAGCGATATAACAAGTAATCTCCTCCGATATATTGATGATCAGTTTCTTCCCTTCGACCATCTCTCTTTAAAATAACAATCATTTCATGATTTGTTTTTATGTGTAAGGGTTTCAGAATCTTTTTTTGAAAAAAAAAACATATTTGCAAAGGTGCCTTCAGGTTAAACTAGTGTGCATTCAATTGAATTTCGATTAAAGTCTATTGATCATAATCAGTTATTGCTCAAAGCTAATTTTGGCTACCACCCCCAATATGTGATTTTTAGTTCATTTTAAACTCAAGAATCAATAATACTGATTTACTCACCGATTTGATAAACATATGAGTAACAGGAAGATTGTTATAATTCTTGAAACGACTAGTCTTGCTTTTGAGTTCAGGTGATCATTGAAAGTCCCCTTCATCATATGACAGAATGGAGGAGTGGATGCTTACACTTTGCGTATACGAATGGTTGGACACAGATAAGACAGGGTGTTTGCCAGTTTGCTGTTGAAGGTATTGGCTCAGAATGCACTGGTTAGGCTTTCTCGAGTTCCATACAATCCTGGTATATTGCAATCATTAGTCTGTGTCGTTTAGGGTGAGTACTACCCCTCACTTCACATTCACTTCTCCCTACAGGTTATCCTTCTGTAAATATCAGTGTCCGAAGTTAGTTATCTATGTCTACGAAGTTGGATGAAGGCATTCGACATGAAGCTCTGAACGAAGGTTTTGTACTTTTTGGTACCCATCAGCAAGGCGTATCTCCAACTTGGATGAAACTGATGTCCCGTTGGAGACTCTAACCTACGTTACCCAGTGCTTCAGTCAGAGACGTTAACGCCGAGCTATTCAGGCCACAATTTACCTATTATAGGACTATATTAGGTTCATCGTTTGGTCACTGGCGGGAAACCAACTTCACGTTGTCTAGTGCTAAGATCTGATTTAATTATATCGATCATTTTGCAATGTAGCCACCATGCTAGGAAACTCACCATTGCTACCTGAATGGCTCATTAGTAACGTCTCTTATTACAGCACTAGGCGACGTGGGTTCGAATCTCCAGCAAAATATCAGTTTCATTCCGGTCAGAGATACGCCTTGCAGACGGATGCTAAAAAGCACAAAACTTAGGTAAAGATCTTCTATTCGATAACATCTATTGCCATGAATCACGATGGCCACACTGTAAAATGATCGATAGGGTCCGATCAGCACTGAAGACTGGAAAACATGAAGTTGGTTACTCTCTAGTGACTAATCAATGTAAATTTAACACTGTTTGTCAATGCATTCCAGTTGGTTTGCAATACAACTTGAACAGTGCAGGTTCATTGGAAGTAGGTGGTGAAGATTAGACTACCGAGGAGTCTTGAAATGGTTTTAGACGTTTTTGCTGTAATTTTGAAGCCGTCTGAGTTTATTCACCTGCGATATGAATCGAATAGATGGATTTTTTGGCAATCCTTAGTCGGTAAGTGAATCTCTGCTATTACTATTCATCACTCCCAACTGCGGAGGTGCCTGAAATTCAATGTTTTCAAAATAAATCAGTTCATGGTTCTCTGTTTTCCATACTTTGTTCAAATATTCTCTTCTGCTTTATCTGACTTTCATAAAACTATTTCGGTTGAAGCTCTCTTATCTTGAGAACTCTTATCATCTTTCTTGCTGAGGTTAAGGTCACTGTTGTTTCTGTTCATGTTCTCTTTTGAAAGACATCGATTGTCGCTGCTGTTGTATGCATTTATATCTGTTTTTGTTTCTCCTAACAATCAAGCATGATTATAAACTGATCTTGATGGCAGTAGAAGTGATAAGGGTATCGTTTTTCATTTTATTTCAATCTAATTGGCAATGAATAATTACAGACGAATGATTAAAGAGGAAAGGCAGATTTGAAGCATTGGCCACTGGAACACCAGCTTGTTACTCTGCGCAAGTGAGCCACTGGGTTTCCAATTTCGTCTGCCATCACCGCATACCAGTTTGCTAAAGCACAGTTACCTTAGATACTTTAATAAATAATTATTGAACAGCCATAAAACACAAGTCAGAAAGGCAGTTGGTTGAACTATCATAGAATTCAAGGTAATTCGAACAGCTATCTTCATCTGTTATGAATTATTGCAGACAACTTATATAATTGACTTCTCTACAGATCTCATACAGGACACTCAGGTATCTCAGTCCAGTTAGTAACTGTAGAAACACTTAGATCCAACGTAGACTGTTGAAATCTAACTCAACTAAGAATTTACAATGAATTATCTCCTCATCATTGTAAAGTGCT